AGGCTCCGGGACCCCGCGGGAGCAGCGCTCCCAGCGCGCGCGGAAACAGCTCCGCCGGGGAATAAACAAGCCGCCCGCCCCGCCGGCCTGGGGAGGAGATGAAAGCCGGGCTCCTCCTCTGATCAAGAAACAGGCTCTGAAAGGGTGCGGGGCTGAGCCTTTATCTGCTTCATACTCGGAAATGGCTTTAGAATGAACTGCTAAGATAAGCTTCCTTGGACGGGCGCGGAGAAACGGTTTGAGGGCATTTTGATTTTGGCAACAAATCCTTAAGTGCAAACTCACTGCTGAGCGGGAACACGCAAGTTACAGCTGGGCTCAGAGCGCCGCCAATTCAAAGCACTGGCCCCCCCGCCCCGCCAAGCCCGTAAGGGGGACAGAGAATAGCGACCTAAGGGACCCACCAATTCTCCCCATCCAGCGGGTCTCCAAGCCTCCACCCGCCGCAGCTCCGACTTCCTGGGGGTGGGAGGAGGACAACAGGGACCCCAGGAGCAGCTCTAGGTGCTGTCCTTTAAATGTAGGTGCAAAACCAAATCGGAGGGGTGAGAAGTGTGGAGAGAGAGTCCCAGGGGGCGGGAGAGGTGGCGACTGCAGGCACACGAGGGATTCTGGGGGCTGAGAGTGTTGTTTCTTTATCTGGGTGGTGGCTACACGGGTGTGCTCACTCTGTGCAAGTCTATAGAGCTGCACAATTAAGAATTGCTCACTTTTCTGCAGGAATGTTCCACTTCAATAAAATTGACATTAAAATTTACACACACACACACACACACACACACACACGCACACACACGCACACACAGAGAGACCTGGAGCGCAGATTCTGAAAGGAACAGGCTGCAGGAAAAAAGGTCGGGGATCCAAAGAAGACCTCACCAGTCTTTCTATCCCTAGTTTCTGGGGATCTTCAGGAAGAATTCGGGATATGCTGGGAAGAGGCCAGGGCCCAGCAACCAAGGCTGAGTTTGGGGGCTGTTATGGGGCCAAATCTTTTGTAGCCAAATGATTTCTGAGAGCAATAACACAGCTACGTAATTTATTTCCACTTTACACACACACACACACAGTTTTCTAATTCACTCAGAGCATTTTTAAGAAATATTTTCCCTGAGGTGGGGGCAGGAGTGAGGGTGTGTGGAATGGATGCTGTTTGGGAAGGTCAGTTGCTTCTCTTAGATTCTTTTTTTAAAAGACATTTCCTTCTGATAGACTTTTGCTTTCAGAAAATACTTTAAAAAGAGATCAAAGCACTCTCTCCCCAGTCCACTTTCCCAGTGTCTTCAGCCCTTACTTCTCTTATCACCCACGCCACTGAGCTCTGACGCTGTGTATACAGAGCGAGGGCAATTGGCTTTGAAGCCCCGGATTAAGCCAGGCCAAATCCTTGCCTCAGAATAACAAACAATACAGGTTCAACAGGAGTTCTCATCGGTAGTTCATTTTTCAAACGCAAATTCACTGTCACTAACACAAGCAACATTGAACTCAACAGGCTCTGAAGGCTGATAGTGGAGATTTATCTGGTGGCACAACCGTGACCTAGGAGCAGCGCCGTCAGACGGTTAGGACATTTTCATTTTGGGGAGGTTTATATTTAAATTTCTGTGGAGTTCACTTTATCTGTGTTTGGGAGAAAAATGCAGTTTCTCACATGTGTCAAGCTTGGCAGGGATGTAGGGAGGCAGAGAAAGGGGTCTGCTCACTGCAGTCCACAGCATGAACCTTCGGGTTACGGGGCCTGGGAGGGACAAAGACTGGCTGGGGAGGGGTCTGGCCACATCTTATGCCGGAGCATTCAGAAATCAGAAACTGATGCATCACCCTGTGGTTGGCACCTTATTCACCAGGTTCAATTGTTCGAGAAT